ACAAAATAATTTTATGATATTATATTTTACTTAACCAAAAGGAAATGAGAAGTCTGTTTGTTCCTCTATCACTTAAATACCTCTCAGGAGGGAAACATCAGTGCATGGTTAACAAAATAGAACAAAGTGAAAGTGAAATTTAATAGACTTCCAAAATCATTATTCACCAAGACTTACCTCTAATTGAATCTGTTACATGATTAATTACTATAATAATTAATGTCCAGTTTTAAAAGTCAATAATTTAGTCCAATATGAATATAAACTAGGTACTAATAAATATTTGCTTCATTGTCCTCACAAAGGGAAAATAGACATACAATAAAGTTAGTATGTATTAACCTTCTTGGGGTCACACCCTGAACCTTCATTTATCAGGAAGCACTCAGCTTCTGAAATCCTAAACTCACTCTGTCCACAAGTTTCTTTGAGTTCGTCTGCTTTTTTTCTCATTATACCATATTTTTAGCCTCATTCCGAACAGTTTTATTTTCTAGTTGTAATTCCTTCTGCCTAGAAAACTTTGTCTTTCATACCAATGGCTTTCATGTTTCAGTTGCTCCACTATACTTTCAGCATATTTTTGTTTAAAATTTTCCATCATAGATCAACCAAACATCTGACTTCTTAGGTATTCATATTATTACAGTTCATCTTTACTAGCTGTTCAAACCCAATACTCTGTTACTCAAAAATCAACTCCTGTAACTAGCAGTGAGATATGCTAAGCTCTTTAACTTGATTATTTATAAATGAGATAATAATGTGACATATAGGCATGTTGTGGAGATTAAGTGAGATTATATTTGCAAAGGACTTAATTACTATAGTTTCTGGCATAAAGAAATATTCATAATTATGATTTGTAATTAGTTGTTTTCTTGACTTATCTAAACAAATCAAACACCTGTGTAGATTTCCTGCTGGTTTCCACATTCTTGCTGCTTTTCTCTGTAAGATCTTTTACAAGATACTGCTCCTCTTCCCATCATTTGAATGATACTATTCTTCAGTATTCTATCTGTATTCCAATCTGATGATTTATTTATCTATTGTGATTCAGATTTCTTGTAAAAGGATACTACTTTTTGAATCATAAACAGCAAGAGAAACAAGTTAATGATTACTACAGATGGCAATATATTGATGTGTCTTGCATTACCCTCTTCTAATTGTGTTCTTTACAAGAGTATTTATATTTTCTCATAGAGCCTTTCCTCCTTAGTAATTTTATCTTCATGGCAAAAAACAACAACAAAAAAAACAAAAGCAACAAAAAAACACACAATTATTGCATTATGTGTAATTTTCTGCTCTTTGAAAAAGAGAACCAAAAAATCTATCTGCAGTAAAGCTTAGGTTTGCCTCAAACTCCCATTTTCAATTGAGATCGTTTAGATGAGAAGGGAATGGCAACTTCTATTTTGGGAATTTGAATCCCAGCAACAGGTACCTTTCAAGAATAAAACCTATTCCATTTTCTTCTAAGTAGAAAACAGAATCTGTCAATCAAAGTACAAAACTTCCACAGGGAAAAACATTCTAGAACATAAAGCCATTCATTGATCTAAATCAAATGAAAAGGTGGCGGATCTCTTAAGCAGGCCCTTGTTTTAACATGTTCCATTCCCAACACCTGCTACAGGCAGCAAGGGCTGAAATACGCCCTGGGCGGCAGGCTCCTGACTGACTTGGAAATGACATCATGTGCGACAGATTCGTGTGTGTGACCTCAGAGTATCCTCCACACATCACCCAAGAATAATAGCTTCAGGTCACCAAATGCCTTTTCCCCGGCTGCTGTGTGTCATGCTTGTGCTCATCCTTCTTTTCTGGTCACTCCCAACTAGTCCTGCTTGAGATCTCTCAACTCAGCTTGCTTCTTGTTTTACAACGAGGAGCCTGGCTATTTTTAAAAGAAGGACTCGTGGACTAGTTGTTGGCTGTGATAACTAAGGGTTTCAGTTTTTCCCCTCCTTCCCTACCTCTTCTGGCTTGAGGCTGCCTTTAGCAATGTTTCCAATTCCCAATTCATTGCCTCACTGCCTAGACAAATCTTTCTGTCTTTACTCTTGAACTAGATCCAACTCAGGGCCAAAACGTCAAAAACTGAAATTGAAATGGTTCTTACTCAATCTTTTGTGGACAAAATTCCATGATTAACATGTTTTCTGTACGAATTTAACTAAAAAAGAGAAGGCTGAGGAAGGGGCATGGAAGTAAAGCACAGCCTTTTGCTGTCTCTTGCCTTTAGTACGAGTAGTAAATCTTTCTTTCTGAGCACAATCCCACCTTACTAAACGTATGTGTGAACGCATACACATGGCCGATACATACACACAATGCATTTTGAAAACATGAAAAGGGTTTATTTTCCTTCTAGATTTTCTAGGTACAATAGACTTTTTAAAAATTACAGTGAACAACAGGAAAGAAAATGTAATCTGAAACTACTGGCGATAAAGACAGAGGTCAAAAAATAAGCTAGCCCTAGGAAACTGTTGAGAAGTCAGAAAAAAGAGTTTCTCAAGGGGAGGCAAAAAAAGTGTCAGGGCACTGGTCAGAGTCAAGAGGCTTTCTGATGGATTTATCTACCCCAAAGACCCAACTCCACTGCTGCTTCCTGTCTAAATCCTGGCTTCCCAGAGCAAAGCTCAACCTAGTAATGAGTGGTTATACTGAAACAGTTAGGGCAGTATTAGTACAAGGAGAGAGTGGACATACAGCTTTTCATTGGAGTTGCTGAACCACAAGAACACAGGGAAGGCAAGGCAAGAAACAGCTGTGGCAGACAGGGCTTTTGTATGATGGAGTTGGTCCATTCGGGCAATTCTAAAAGTTGTTCTTTTATCAATTAAAACTATGGGGGTTTCTGTATAATGCTTCACACCAGACCTATCAAAATCATCCACACCTACTTTGCAGTGCCCATTTGTTCTCTGGACTTCCCATTTAGTAGAGCTAGCCAACAGATGGGGTCTGTGTATTTTTACCTTAAAACAGCTCTGTCTTAGGTCTGGCTCCCCAGAAGCCGTCTCTGAGACAAATTACACCATGCAACTGGTTTTTAACGAAATGCTCCTAGGAAAGACTAGTACACTTGAGGAGAAGCAGGACAGGGAGAGGGAAGATGCCAATCAACAGGGCATGGTTTCAGGCCCAGGCTACGGAGAATGGCTTCAGCCTGATCCCATAGAGGTTGGAAACAGAAGTACATGAAAGCCCAGAAGGGTGCACAGATATTGTAAACGGGATTGTGGGGGCCTGAGTAGATAACTGCTGGTGTCCAGTAAAGGCCTTTTAAGCAGTCATGACATAGCCACCGGGAATTTAAAGCTTGGTGATCAGTCTGATATGCATAAGTATTGGGGTGAAATACAAGCCAATTGTAAATTGCAGGATTCCCTGTTTCTTGCCTTGTGTCAAACAATTTTTAAACTTTTCAATAACTTTAATCCTATGTTTATTCATAACGTTATTCCTACCTGCTGGCCATGATCCATATAAAGAAGATCTGAGATAAACCTATAACCTGGGACATAACTTCCCTTTATAGTGAGCTATTGAATCCATGGTAATTCTAAACACATTTTTAAAAACACATGGACATATACACATACCTATGTATTATATAGTCAATCAAGTAAAGTACAAAGTTAAACTGTTCACTTGTGATCACAGGTAAAACCAATAATTAAATGCTTTTTTTTAATAATCATTATTAAAAAGTGGTGACATTTTCCAGCCCAGGCTTAAAATGATGTATTTGTCTTAACAGAACTTAATCTGGGAAAAAGAACCTGTAAAACATGCTTACCAGTGCTCACATACATCAGGGAGCTACTGAGCTTTATCAGATATCCACATTCTCAGATTCCACCCAGTATTTCTCCCTGGGAGAAGAATAAGTTTGGTTCTTTGCTGTTCAAGGTCCTATAAATACATGCAGTGAAGACTTTTAACCTTTATTCAGTTCTTTGCTTCAACCTCCAAGCAAGCCCTATTCTCATATATATAACAGGAATGGCAGGTTATATGTAATTTTCTACCAATAAAAAAGCACCATACATAATTCTGAATTAAGTCTCTTTAATCTAGAAGCACAAGTATCAATGCAATTTCACAATGCAAAGGGATTTTTATTTTTCAGGTGGTAAGAACCAGCAGTTTAACAGCTTTGTCTGAACCATAATAAAAATTTAGCTGCAGAAATTCATAGAAACTCTTTGTCCATCACGTAGTATCTAAAAGAAAGAGATGATACGGGAAAGAAAGTTATCCAAAGTGTGTCAGCCAACTCTGAATTTCAGTTTTCACAGTGGCAAGGAGGGAAGAGGATTAATTTGAGTCAGAACTATTTAGTGCCTAGCACTTCAGTACTTTTATAACACAATTAAAAGGAGAAATAAAATAACAAAGCAAAGATTAGAAAGTTACAAACCACACTATTCAGTTCACAGAGCTGAAGTTACTTATGAGTGAGAGCTTACTATTCTTCAAAGATTCCAAGTCTCATTTTCAAATGGTCTGCAAGCTAAATGACACAGGGAAGAGACATACTTTTTATCTGTCAAATGTATTCTCATTTTTTTGAGGTGATGTTCTGAGAAAATGAAAGCCTAGGGGTACAAGTAGTTTATTTATTTTTTTAGAGACAGTGTCTTGCTCTCACCCAGGCTGGACTGCAGTGTTGCAATTATGGCTCATTAGAGCCTCAAACTCCCGGGTGCAAGCAATCCTCCTGCTTCAGCCTACTGCACAGCCGATACTACAGGCAGTATCATGCTTGACTATTTTTGTTGTTGTTGAGTTGGGGGTCTTACTATGTTCCCCAGGTGGGTCTCAAACTCCTGGCCACAAGTGATCCTCCTGCCCCAGCTTTCCAAAGTATTGGGATTGCAGCATGAACCAATGTGCCTGGCCACAAGTAGTTTTAATTTTCCTTCATGCTTCAAGGATTTGGGTAACTGCCATACCTGTGTTTTCTCTTCTTTTCATAGATAAGAAATACTGCCAAGGTTAATGGTGGAGAGAAAAGGAGGTCCTTATAATATTCCTTGGCTTCTCCCCTCGCTTTCAGGCCTCAAAACAACTAATTCAGCCTAAGAATACATCTGTCTGCTAATTCGCCCTGAGAAGAAGTTGCAAGTTAAAAAAGGTATTATAACTTTTATCATGAAATAGTATATTTTTAGATTTGAAAAAAATACTGATCACCGAAAACCAAGTCACTTTATCTAAATAGAGTTTGTTTTAAAAATGAAGCTATGTTTTAGTATAAGGTTTCATCAGCTAGTTATCATTTACAATCTAATTAATTGCTGCATTTTTTTCCTTGGTTCCTTGGTGAGGACACTCATAGGATTATTACTATTTTCTCATTGTACTTTAAGTTCTGGGACACATGTGCAGAACCATGCTTACATAGGTATATACGTTCCATGGTGGTTGGCTGCATCCATCACCCCGTCATCTACATTAGGTATTTCTCCTAATGCTATCCCTCCCCTAGCCCCGCTACCTTCTGACAGGCCCTGGTGTATGATGTTCTTCTCCCTGTGTCTATATGTTCTTACTGTTCAACTCCCACTTGTGAGTGAGAACGTACGGTGTTTGGTTTTCTGTTCTTGTGTCAATTTGCTAAGAATGATGATGGTTTCCAGCTTCATCCATGTCCCTGCAAAGGACATGAACTCATCCTTTTTATGGCTGCATAGTATTCCCTGGTGTATATGTGTCACATTTCTTTATCCAGTCTATCATTGATGGGCATTTTGGTTGACTCCAAGTCTTTGCTATTGTGAACACTGCTGCAATAAACATACGTGTGCATGTGTCTTTATATTAGAATGATTTATGGTTATTTGGGTATATACCCAGTAATGGGATTGCAGGGTCAAATGGTATTTACAGTTCTAGAACCTTGAGGAATCGCCACACTCTTCCACAATGGTTGAACTAATTTATACTCCCACCAACCATGTAAAAGCATTCCTATTTCTACACATCTTCTCCAGCATCTGTTGTCTCCTGACTTTTTAATGATTGAGATGATATCTCAGTGTGGTCTTGATTTGCATTTCTCTAATGACCAGTGATGATGAGCTTTTTTTCATATGTTTGTTGGCTGCATAAATCTCTCCTTTTGAGAAGTGTCTGTTCATATCCTCTGCCCACTTTTTGATTTTTTTTTTTCTGTAAGTTTAAGTTCTTTGTAAATTCTGAATATTAGCCCTTCATCAGATGGGTAGACTGCAAAAATGTTCTCTCATTCTGTAGGTTGCCTCTTCACACTGATGACAGTTTCTTTTGCTGTGTAGAAGCTCTTTAGTTAAATTAGATCCCATTAGTCCATTTTGGATTTTGTTGCCATTGCTTTTGGTGTTTTAGTCATGAAGTCTTTGCCAATGTGTGTGTCCTGAATGGTATTGCTTAGGTTTTCTTCTAGATTTTTTTATGGTTTTAGATCTTACATTTAAATCTTTAATTCATCTGGAGTTAATTTTTGTATAAGGTGTAAGGAAGGGATCCAGTTTTAGCTTTCTGCAGATGGCTAGCCAGTTTTCCCAACACCATTTTATTAAATAGGGCATCCTTTCCCCTTTGCTTGTTTTTGTCAGGTTTGCCAAAGATCAGAGGGTTGTAGGTGTGTGGCATTATTTCTGAGGTCTCTGTTCTGTTCCATTGGTCTATATGTCTGTTTTGGTACCAGTACCATGCTGTTTTGATTACTGTAGCCTTGTATTATAGTGTTAAGTCAGGTAATATGATGTCTCCAGCTTTGTTTCTTTCACCTAGAATTTTCTTGGCTATGTGGGCTCTTCTTTGGTTTAATATGAAATTTATGGTGTTTTTTTTTTTTTTTTTTTTTTTTTTTCGATTCTGTGAAGAAAGTCAGTAGTAGCTTGACGGGAATAGCATTGAATCTATAGATTACTTTAGGCAGTATGGCCATTTTCATGATACTGTTTCTTCCTTACCATAAGCATGGAATGTTTTTCCATTTGTTGTGTCCTCTCTCATTTCCTTGAGCGGTGGCTTGTAGCTCTACTTGAGGAGGTCCTTCACATCCCTTGTAAGTTGTATTCCTAGGTATTTTATTCTCTTTGTAGCAATTGTGAATGGGGGTTCACTCATGATTTAGCTCTCTGTTTATTATTGGTTTATAGGAATGCTTGTGATTTTTACACACTGATTTTTTACTCTGAGAGTTTACTGAAGTTGCTTATCATCTCAAGCAGATTTTGGCCTGAGATGATGGGGTCTTCTAAATATACAATCATGTTGTCTGCAAAGAGAGACAATTTGACTTCCTCTTTACTTGACTATCGTTTATTTCTTTCTCTTGCCTCATTGCCCTGGCCAGAACTTCCAATTCTATGTTGAATAGTAGTGGTAAAAGACAGCATACTTGTCTGTGCAGGTTTTCAAAGGAAATGCTTCCAGTTTTTGCCCATTCAGCATGATATTGGCTGTGGCTTTGTCATAAATAGCTTTTATTATTTTGAGATATGTTCCATCAATACCTAGTTTATTGAGAGTTTTTAGCATGAAGCGTTGAATTTTCTCAAAGGCCTTCTCTGCATCTATTGAGATAATCATGTGGTTTTTGTCTTTTTTTTTTTGAGACGGAGTTTCGCTCTTGTTACCCAGGCTGGAGTGCAATGGCGCGATCTCGGCTCACCGCAACCTCCGCCTCCCGGGTTCAGGCAATTCTCATGCCCCAGCCTCCTGAGTCGCTGGGATTACAGGCACGCGCCACCATGCCCAGCTGATTTTTTGTATTTTTAGTAGAGACGGGGTTTCACCATGTTGACCAGGATGGTCTCGATGTCTTGACCTCGTGATCCACCCGCCTGGGCCTCCCAAAGTGCTGGGATTACAGGCTTGAGCCACCGCGCCCGGCCGGTTTTTGTCTTTGATTCTGTTGATGTGATGGATTTATTGATTTGTGCATATTGAACCATCCTTGCATCCCAGGGATGAAGCTGACTTGATTGTGATGAATAAACTTCTTGATGTGCTGTTAGATTCAGTTTGCAAATATTTTATTGAGGATTTTCTCATTGATGTTCGTCAGGGATATTGGCCTGAAATTGTCTTTTTTAGTTGTTTCTCTGCCAGGTTTTAGTATCAGGATAATGTTAGCCTCATAAAATGAATTAGGGAGGATTCCCTCTTTTTGTATGGTTTGGAATAGTTTCAGAAGGAATGGTACTGGCTCCTCTTTGTACCTCTGGTAGAATTTGGCTGTCAAATAATCTGGTCCTGGACTTTTTTTGGTTGGTAGGCTATCGCTGCCTCAATTTCAGACCTTGTTATTAGTCTATTCAGGGATTCGACTTCTTCCTGCTTTCATCTTGAGAAGGTGTAAGTGTCCAGGAATTTATCCATTTCTTCTAGATTTTTCTGTTTTATTTGCATAGAGGTTTATAGTATTCTCTGATGGTAGTTTGTGTTTCTATGGGATCGGTGGTAATATCACCTTTATCATTTTTTATTGCCTCTGTTTGATTCTTCTCTCATTTCTTCATTAGTCTGGCTAGCGGTCTATCTGTTTTCTTGATCTTTTCAAAAAACCAGCTCCTGGAGTCATGAATTTTTTTGAAGGTTTTTTGGGCCTCTATCTATCTCCTTCAGTTCTGCTTGAATCTTGGTTACTTCTTGTCTTCTGCTGGTTTTTGAATTTGTTTGTTCTTGCTTCTCCATTTTTTTTTTTTAAATTGTGATGTTAAGGTGTTGATTTTAGATCTTTCCTGCTTTCTCATTTGGGCATTTAGTGCTATAAAGTTCCCTCTACACACTGCTTAAATGTGGCCCAGAGATTCTGGTATGTTGTGTCTTTGTTCTCATTGGCTTCAAATAACTTTTTGATTTCTGCCTTAATTTTGTTATTTATCTAGTAGTCATTCAGGAACAGTTTGTTCAGTTTCCATGTAGTTGTGCAGTTTTGAGCGAGTTTCTGAATCCTGAGTTCTAATTTGATTGCACTGTAGTCTCAGAGACTGTTATGATTTCCGTTCTTTTGCATTTGCTGAGGAGTGTTTTACTTCCAATTTTGTGGTCAGTTTTAGAATAGGTGTGATGTGGTGCTGAGAAGAATATATATTCTGTTGATTTGGGGTGGAGGGTTCTATAGATGTCTATTAAGTCTGCTTGGTTCAGAGCTGAGTTCAAATCCTGGATATCCTTGTTAATTTTCTGTTTTCGTTGATCTAATATTGACAATGGAGTTTTAGAGTCTCCCACTATTATTGCGTGGGAGTCTAAGTCTCTTTGTAGGTCCCTAAGAACTTGCTTTATGAATCTGAGTGCTCTTGCTTTGGGTGCATATATATTTAGGATAGTTAGCTCTTCTTGTTGCATTGATCCCTTTACCATTACGTAATGTCCTTCTTTGCCTCTTTTCGTCTTTGATGGTTTAAAGTCCGTTTTATCAGAGACTAGGATTGCAACCCCTGCTGTTTTCTTTTCTTTTTTTTTCTTTTTTTTTTTTTGCCTTCCATTTGCTTGGTAAATATTCCTCCATCCTTTATTTTGAGCCTATGTGTGTCTTTGCACATGAGATGGGTCTCCTGAGTATAGCACACTGATGGGTCTTGACTCTTCATCCAATTTGCCAGTCTGTGTCTTTTAATTGGGGCATTTAGTCCATTTACATTAAGCTTAATATTTTTATGTGTGAATTTGATACTGCCATTATGATGCTAGCTGATTATTTTTACCCTTAGCTGATGCAGGTTCTTCCTAGCATCCATGGTCTTTACAATTTGGTATGTTTTTGCAGTGGCCGGTACCATTTGTTTCTTTCCATGCTTAGTGCTTCCTTCAGGAACTCTTGTAGGGCAGGCTTTGTAGTGACAAAATCTCTTTTTGTGACAACCCAGTAATTTGGTTGTCCATAAAGGATTTTATTTCTCCTTTGCTTATCAAGCATAGTTTGGGTGTATATGAAATTCTGGGTTGAAAATTCTTTTCTTTAAGAATGTTGAATATTGGTATTGGCCCCCTGTCTCTTCTGGCTTATAAGGTTTCTGCTGAGAGAGCTGCTGTTGGTCTGATGGGCTTCCCTTTGTGGGTAGCCTGACCTTTCTCTCTGGCTGTCCTTAGCATTTTTTTCCTTCATTTCAACTTTGGTGAATCTGACAATTACATGTCTTGGGTTGTTATTCTTGAGGTGTACTTTTGCAGTGTTCTGTTATTTCCTGAATTTGAATGTTTGCCTGCCTTGCTAGGTTGGGGGAGTTCTCCTGGATAATATCCTGAAGAGTGTTCTCCAACTTTTGGTTTCATTCTCCTTTTCACTTTCAGACACACTGATCAAATGTAGATTTGGTCTTTAAATGTAATTCCATATTTCTTGGAGGCTTTGTTCATTTCTTTTCGCTCTTTTGTCTCTATTCTTGTCTTTTCACTTTATTTCATTGAGTTCATCTTCAATCTCTGATATCCTTTATACTGCTTGATCGATTTAGCTACTGAAATTTGTGTATGCTTCATGAAGTTCTCATGCTGTGTTTTTCAGCTCCCTCAGGTCGTTTATGCTCTTCTCTATGCTGGTTATTCTAGTTAGTATCTCATGTAACATTTTTTCAAGGATCTTAGTTTCCTTGCATTGGGTTAGAACATGCTCCTTTAGCTCAAAGAAGTTTGTTATTACCCACCTTCTGAAGCCTGCTTCTGTCAATTCATCAGACTCATTCTCCATCCAGTTTTGTTTCCTCGCTGGTGAGAAGCTGTGATCCCTTAAAGGAGAAGAGTCGTTCGAGTTTTTGGAGTTTTCAGCCCTTTTGTGCTCGTTTCTTCCCGTCTTTGTGAATTTATCTACTTTTGGTCTTTGAGGTCTGTGGCCTTTGGATGGGGTCTCTGAGTGGACATCCTTTTTGTTAATGTTGAAACTATTTCTTTCTGTTTGTTAGTTTTCCTTCTAATAGTCAGGCTGCTCTGCTGCAGGTCTGCTGGTGTTTGCTGGGCATCCATTCTAGACCCCGCTTGCCTGGGAGTCACTCATGGTGGCTGCAAAGATTGCTGCCTGTTCCTTCCTCTGGTAGCTTCGTCCCAGAGGGGTACCCACCAGATGCCAGCCAGAGCTCTCCTGTATGGGGTGTCTGTCAGCCCCTACTGTGAGGTATCTCCCAGTGAGGGTAGACAGACAGGGGTCAGGGAGCCACTTGAGGAAGCAATTTGTCCCTTATCAGAATTGAGTGCTGTGTTGGGAAATCTGCTCCTCTCTTCAGATCTACCAGGCAGGGATGTTTAGGTCTGCTGAAGCTGTACCCACTACCATCTGTTTTCCCAGGTGCTCTGTCCCAGGAAGGTAGGGGCTTTATAAGTCCCTGAGAGGCTGCTGCCTTTTTTAAGAGATGCCCTGCCAATGAGGACATCTAGTGAGGCAATCTGCCTGCAGCTGCTGAGCTTTGTTGAGCCCTACCAGTTCGAGCTTCCTGGCAGCTTTGATTACACTGTGGGGTTGAAACTGCCTACTTGAGCCTCAGCAATGACTGACACCCCTCCCCTCACCAAGCTCAAATGTCCAGGTCAAGCTCAGACTGCTGAGCTAGCCGCAAGAATTTCAAGCCGGTGGATCTTAGCTTGCTTGTCTCCGTTGGGGTGGGACCCATGGAGCCAGACCACTTGGCTCCCTGGCTTTAGCCTCCTTTCCAGGGGAATGAATCATACTGTCTCACTGGCCTTCCAGGCACTACTGGGATATGGGGCGGGGGAGGGGGGACTAAAAAATTGCTGTGGCTAGCTTGGTTTCTGCCCAAATGGCTGCCCAGTTTTTGTGCTGGAAACCCAGGGCCTTCATGGTTGTGTAGGTACTAGAAGGAATCTCCTGGTCTGTGGGTTGTGAAGGCCCTGGGGAGAGCACAGTATCTGGGCCAGAGTGCAGGAAACAGTCCCTAATGGCTTCCCTTGGCTAGGAGAGGGAGTTCTCCAGCCCCTTGTGCTTCCCACATGAGGTGCTGCCTCACCCTGCTTCAGCTTGCCCTCCTTGGGTTACGCCCACTGTCCAACCAGTCCCAATGAGATGAACCAGGTGCCTCAGTTGGAAATGTGGAGATCACCTGCCTTCTGTGTTGATCTTGAATGGGAGGTGCTTGCCAGAGCTGTTCATATTCTGTCATCTTGCCCAGGAGCCCCAGGATTATTTTCAAATAGTGTTACGTGACTCAAGAAGTCCTGTAATTTATACCACATTGGTATTTACTAAATAGAATAAGCAATGTTCCTGCAACTGTATTCAACTTATGTTAAAAACTGTTAATTCAAAAAAATAATGCAAACAAAAATGAACCATGAGCTCTACTTCCACAAAACTTGTAAATGAAATGCACACCGAATATCAGTAACATATAGAAATGGCATAGGAATTCATAAAGGAGAAAGAGAGAGGAGGAGAGTAACTTCTGGCTGGTGTAAAGAAGAAAGATTTCAGTGGAAAACAGCTTTAAAGCTCAGACTTGAGAATTAATTAGGTAGGACCATTAAAAATGGAAGGAGCGGAGTGAGGCACATACAGCAGGGCAAGTACACATGAAAATAGATGGAATGTAAACGATGTAGAGGCAAGAAAACATTTTCAGCCAAATGGGGGTTTTGTGATTTATCTGGAGCATTATGTAGGAGCGGGTGACAGATGGCATCATGGATAGTCTTTAGAAGGTGTAATCCAACAATCATCTGGAAAGGTAGTTGAATAGGGAAGAATGAAAAGACACAGCAATGATCCAGGCAGCACTAAATGGGTAAAGAAAAGCAAAGGATGGACTGGTAGGATAATTAAGATTTCAAAGAAGAATTAAATGGAATTAATATTTACTTATATGCTACCTTAAAGGAAACCTACTACTTTATAGAATATTTATGGCAAATGCAGTTCTAGTAATTCATAAGGACCTGAATCATTTCTGACAGGAGATAACCATTAGAGTTTTAGAGAAAGCAGTCCTGCAAATAATGATTTTTTTCTTAAGTTTCAAAGAAGGTATCTATAAAGATATACTTAGCTTAATATATACATGGTTAAAAGTATATACATATCTCATTTCTGATTTATTTTCAAATAGTTCTATATTTAAAATAATGTTTCAGAAATGTAAGGATAAACAATAGTAGATCATAGGTTACATGCATGTAGCTTTAGCCTAATGAATGAAAAATCCACAATAATAATTGTAGAAAACATAGAAATATTTTAAAATTTGTTCATTAAAAAAAATAGGAAAAAGTGCCGTCAAGCAGTACAAAACATATTGCCAACTAGAACATCATATGTGAATAAATAATATTAGACTATAATTGAATTTAATGACAGTGAAGCAATATCTTTGTTCAAAACGGAAGAAGGTGAGATTTCTGCCCAACAGACAAAACACTAGAGGATCTGTTGACTTGGATACTGAAAGAAAAAAATGACTCAAGATTTCAAGCATAAATTTATGTCTGAAGAAGATACTTTACTTTCAACCACAGATTAGGTACTGTGACTTGATAAAGGAAATAAATATCTGAGAACTTGCTAAGTGAATGCTAATTTCTAACACAGAACACCCACTGAGTTTCACCACATATGTTCTCATGGCCTCTCATGTAAATACAGACCTATTCAGTATCAAAATTACGTCTTATTTACTCAATTTTTAAATGATGCCAGAGAAGCTCACTAGGTTCCCTTATGATCAGAAAAATGCTAAATTGGGATCATCTCCATGCCTGAGCTGAATGGAACAACTCAGTGTCCTCAGTTGTTTCAACATGTCCCTGCCATGTTTGAAACGGCTTCCAATGTTGCATTTATAAAAATGGCTGAAGAGAATTCCACTAAAACAGCAGTGACTTCCAAATAAACTTCAATTATTTTAAAATGTGAACTGGGGTCACTTATAAACTGTTCTACAGGAGGGTACCAAAATTCAAATGCTGTTTCTCATTGCAGACTAGCTTTGTTATTTATAGACAGACATCCAGCCTTCTCACGGCAAACAGAGGGCAAGCCATTTGATCAATGTATCTGAACTATTGTTTTGTATATATGAAGATAACAGAGTTGAAAAAGGATTCCAGAAGGATCTTTTGAGGGGATAAGTCATAGTGTTTGGCAAATACCAAATACTGAACACCTGCTGCTGAATGACTGAGTTATGTGTGGTATAAAGAATATCCATTTTATACTTTAAAAATCAAAATTTTTCCTAAAAGTTGCCAAAACACACTTTTTCCAAAGTTTGCATAGGAGACAATTTCTCCAGGTGAATGAGAATAGCTACTCTTTATTGAAAATCTGCCATGTGCTAATCCTTTTGCTGGCTATAATAGTGATCCATAGTATAAACAGAATTTGGTGTTATTCTTCCTGTTTTACAGATGAGGAAAATCATGCCCAGAGAAGTTATTTCCTTAAAGTCACTAGGGTATGTAGGATAAATAAGCTGACCAGAAGCTGAAAGAGAATAGTCTGAGGATTTAGAAATTTCCACCAAGAAGCACTTATATTTTGATAAATACATATGAGTTCCTCCCATAAGGTCTTTTCGGCTGGCTGACTGTGCCAGGAACTGCATGGTAACCTCTGTGACCTGCACATACACCTCCAGATGACTTCCTGGAACTAGAAAGTCTTAAGTAACTGGAAAACCTCGAGACATTCTTCTGTTGCTGTTTAATCCTGCCTCAATGGGTTAGGCAACTGGACTTTGTAATCAACCTTGCTCAACTGATAGATCAACCTCATGACTCCAGATTCTAAGACCCAATCCCAACTTGCAAACACCATCCTAAACTGTAACTTCTGTAACTTTCTACTTCCTACCCCAAGCCTATAAATCCAACTCCTATCCCACCACCCTCTGCTGACTCTTTTTTCGGACTCAGGCTGCCCACACCTGGGTGAATCAACAACCATGTCGCTCATACAAGGCTTGTTTGGGGGGTCTCTTCATTCAGAGTGCCTTTTAACATTTGGTGCTGAAACCTGAGTCAGGGGTATTCCTTTGGGGAAACTAACCCCCTGTCCCCATTCTACCTCTCTGAAGAGACTCACCTGCCACCTCAGTGCATCAGACCAGCCTGACAACCCTCTTGCCACCTTCAGATCAGGTAAGCAGTTTCTCCCTCTCTCTCCCCCTTTAAATCCTCCTCCTTCTAAATAGAGAAGAAAAGACAAGTGTCTCTCCCTCTTTCTCCCTCTCTCTCTTTCATTTAGAGAAAAGGAGACAAGTCTCAGAGACAAGTCTTCCTCTCTCTCTTTTCCTTTAAATCTCAAGGAGCCAAGTCTCCTTCTCTCTTTCTTCTTAGGCAAAGGAGACACTATCTGTGTGCTCAAAAACTCTGACATTGGTCACGGACTCGACTAGGGAAGACGGTCTTCCCTTGCTGTTTGATCAGTCGCGGGGATGCCTGCCTTGCCCACTCACTCACGTTACAGCCTTGGATTCAGTCAGGGACACCTACTGAAAGCCCTGGCAGCTGCTTGATCCTTCTCCTCGTCTCTACTCTTTCCTTCTCCATGGGCAATAGTCCATCCTCTATTCCCCTGTCTTCACCTCTAGCCTCTGTCTTAAAAAATATAAAACCTCTTCAGCCGGGCGCGGTGGCTCACACCTCTAATCCCAGCACTTTGGGAGGCCGAGGCGGGTGGATCACGAGGTCAAGAGATCAAGACCATCCTGGCCAACATGGTGAAACCCCATCTCTACTAAAAACACAAAAAAATTAGCTGGGTGTGGTGGCACATGCCTGTAGTCCCAGCTACTCGGGAGGCTGAGGCAGGAGAATTGCTTGAACCCAGGAGGTGTAGGTTGCAGTGAGCTGAGATCGAGCCACTGCACTCCAGCCTGGCGCCTGGTGACAGAGTGAGACTGTCTCAAAAAAGAAAAATACCTCTTCAACTGTCACCTGATCTAAAACCTAAATATATCATTTTTTTTTTTCTGTAACACGGCATGGCTTCAATACAATGGTTCCAAATAGCCAGAAAATGGCACTTTCAATTTTTCTATTCTGTGAGACCTAAAAAATTTTTGTAAACAAATGGGTACATGGTCTGAGGTACCCGAAGTCCAGGCATTTTTTTTCCATTCCAATCCCTCCCTAATCTCTGCTCTCAATGCAACCTGTCCCAAATTTTCCTTCTCTCCCTTCCATCTGCCCTGCCTGCCTCTGCTGGCAACCCAGAATCTTCCTTGTCCATCTACCCTTATGCCCCTCCTCTCAACCTCCCTACCTCATACGTGGTCGAGCTTACAGTTTAGTGCCACAGCTAACTCCTCTGCCCCTGCCCAACAATTCCCCCTTTTAGAAATTCTCCCTTTTAGAGGTGGCTGGAGCCGAAGGCATAGTTAGGTTCTCGTTATCTGACCTTTCCCAAATCGGCCAATGGTTAGGCTACTTTTCATGAGGTCTTACTAAACATATACCAGAGTTCCAATACTTAATGCAGTTCTATAATCTCACCTGGAGTGACTTAAATGTCATCCTTACTTCTACTCTCACCTCTGAAGAATGCTTAATATGCATTTTATCACCCAATCAGCCCATGACATTAAAAAAGCTACAGAAATTAAAATCTGGCCCTCAAGTCCCACAACAGGAATTAACCTCACCTTCAAGGTGTTCACTAATAGGCAAAAAGCTTCCCAGCAGCAGGGCATCTTACAAGTACAAATGGTTGCCTCCGCCCTAAGACAAACCCCAGCCACACCACCGGCTCACAAAGACTTCAAAGTGCCCAGACTGCAGTGGCCAGCTGCCCCTCCTGGACCTTGCTTCAAGTGTTGGAAACCTGGTCACAGGAATGCCTGCAGCCTGGGATTCTTCCTAAACCCTGCCCCATCTGTGCAGGGTCCCCACTGAAAGTCAGACTGTCCAACTCATGTGGCTTCTCCCAGAGCTCCTGGACCAAATCCTTCCCAGATCTACTCAGCTTGGTGGCTAAAGACCGACGCTGCCGGAACATCTCGGAGGTCCCCTGGACCATCACGGATGCCGAGCTTCTGGTAAGTTTTATGATGGAGATTAAGTCCATCCCCTTCTTAATCAATATGGGGGCCACCCACTTCATGCTGCCTTCTTTTCAAGGCTCTGTCTCCTTGGCCCCGATAACTGTTGTGGGAATTGATGACAAGCCTTCCAGGCCTCTCAAAACCCCCCAAGTCTGGTGTCAATTAGGCCAGCACTCCTTCCCACACTCTCATCATCTCCACTTGTCCAGTTCCCCTGTTAGGCCAAGATATCCTAGCAAAATTGTCCGCCTCCTTAGCTATTGCTGGGCTACAGCCATACCTCATTGCTGCCTTCCTCCCTGAACCCGTACCTCCCTCAATGGCTCCCCTTCTGTCCCCCTACCTTAACCCTAGCGTGTGGGACACCCCCTCCCCATCCCTTGCTCACTCACCCCTTGTCATCCCATTAAAACGTAACCACCCTTACCCTGCCCAGTGCCAGTACCCCATCCCACAACAGGCTTTAAAGGCCTGCTTAAAGGCCTAAAGCCTGCTATCACTCGTCTATTATAACATGGCCTTTTAATTCCTACAAACTCTCCTTACAGTACCCCATCCTACCTGTCCAAAAACCAGACAAATCCTACAGACTAGCTTGAGACCTCTGCCACATCAGTGAGATTGTACTTCCCATCTGCCTGGTTGTACCAAACTCCTATACCCTCCTATCTTCCACAACTCACTATTCTGTTCTTAACCTCAAAAATGCTTTTTTCTAAAGCCCAAATTTCTTCTCCATCCATTACCTATGTCAGTGTAATCCTTCACCAGCATACACGCGTTCTCCTTGCCAGCCGTATCCAGTTAATTATCCAAACCCCAACCCCATCCACTAAACAACAGCTTCTCTCCATCCTAGGTGTTGTAGGTTTCTCCTATGAATACCAGGTTTTGCCTTCCTAACCAAACAGTTTATAAACTTACAAAAGGAAACTTAGCTGACCCCATAGACCCCAAATCGTCCCCCCATTCTTTTGTTTGCTAAAGGCCTTAGAAACAGCCCCTACACTAGCTCCTCCCAGCCTTTCTCCCTTCACATGGCAGAAGTAAAAGGTTGTGCAGTTGGGATGTTTACACAAGAGCTGGGCCCACAGCCAGTCGCCTTTTGTCGAAACAACTCAACTTCAGAGTCCTAGGTTGGCCGTCATCTTTACACACCATGGCCACTATGGCTGTAACACTCTTAGAATCCCTCAAAATTACAGACTATGCCCCTCTTACCCTCTACAGCTCTCACAACCTCCAAAGTTTAGTTTGCTCTTCACACCTTACACACATACCTCCCCGCCAACCATCACCTCCTCCAACTCTATTCACTATTCATTGAAACCCCCACAGTAACGATTGCTCTTGGACTTGACTTCAACCCGGCCTCTCACTTAATACCCAAACAAACCCTGAACCCCACGACTGTATCTCTGTAATCCATATAGCCACCTCTCCACTTCCCCATATTTCTTTTTTTCCTATTCCAGACCCAGACCACACATGGTTTATTGATGGCAGTTCTTCAAAGCCCAGTTGGTTGGCCAAATCTGACTATGCTGTTATATCCCACTCATCTATTATCAAGGCTGCCTCCCTCCCCTGATCCACCACTTCTCAGCAAACTAAACTAATTGCCCTAACCCTTGCTCTTACTCTTGCCAAGGGACTACATATGAATATTTACACTGATTGTAAATATACCTTCTACGTCCTTCACCACCATGCTGTTAAATGAGCAGAAAGAGGTTTCTCACTACGCAAGGGTCCTCTATTACCAAAGCTCCCTTAATAGAGGCTCTCCTTAAGGCCACTCTCCTCCCAGCCAAGGACGGAGTTATCCACTGCAGAGAACACCAAAAACTGTCAGATCCCATTGCACAAGGAAATGCCTTAGCCGACAAAAAAGCCAAAGAGCAGAGGATACCTCAGTATCTCCCCCACAGGGCTGATATTTTTCCTTCTTAATTCTCCTACCTACCTATTCTCCTTCCAAAAATTCATTTTAACAGTGGCTTCCTAGGTAAGGCAAATGGTTCTTAGAACATGGAAAGTTCCTTCTCCCTGATCACAAGCTCATTCTAGCCTCTCATCCTTTCATGATCACTTCCATGTAGAATATAAGCCCCTGGCTAGTCTTTTAAAACCCCTTATTTCTTTTCCATCATGGAAGTCCATCCTTAAAACAACCACATCTCAAAATTCTGTCACTCTACTACTCCTCAGGGATTTCTCTCAGAACTCCCTCCCACTTTTTACTACACATCAGACCCATGAATTTTACCCTCCATAAGACTGACAAACTTCCAGTTTTGCCTAGGTAGGCATTTACCCTGTCTCTCACTCCATCCTTGGCTTCCCTCCCCTTGTTCATCAGATGCTTCTCCAGACCCCTCTACCTGCCTGCTCATACCTAACCTTGTTACTAAAAGTGAATGGTTACTCATAGAGACCAAACGCTTTCTCATACACCGTGAAAACAAGACCTCTCCTTCCACACAATTACCCTATCTGACCTCACTACACCCTTTAACAGCTGTGGCCCTTGCTGGTTCCCTTGGTATTTGGGTCCAAAGCCCCAACACCCTCAGAAAACTTTCTTACGTTTTCAGTTTACACCTCCAGTTCTGTCTAAGCCAAGGACTTTTCTTTCCCTCTGTGATTCTTCTACCTACATCTTCCTTCTTACAAACTGGACAGTCACTTGTACCCTAGTTTTCCTTATTCCCAATAAGGAAAAATTCAGTTTATCCATGGAGACGAAAGCCTCCTGTTCCTCTTGTGATCCTGACACGACACAAGTGGGTCATTCCATTGATCCCCTTACTTGTAGGGTTAGGATCTACAGCATTCAGCACAAGCATAGCAGGCCTTACCACTTCAGTCGTCACCTTCCATAGCCTCTCTAATGATTTCTCTGCTAGCATTGCAGAATTAATCACTATCCCTTCTTCAAGCTCAAGTAAATTTCCTAGCTGCCATTGTCCTCCAAAACCACAGAGGTCTTGATTTACTGATGGCTAAAAAAAGGGTCATTGCCTATTCCTAAATAAAAATGATGTTTTTATGTAAATAAGTCTGGCTTGGTATATGATGCCATCAATAGATTAAAAGACAGATCCCAAAAGCTCACTAATCAGGCAGATGGTTTTCTGGACCTGGCTGGACTGGCTGGATACTCTAACTGGGTGTCATGGCTTCTTCCAATCCTTAGTCCTCTGATACCTATCTTTCTCCTTCTCTTATTTGGACCCTGTGATTTCTGATTAATCTCTCAGTTCCTACAAAATAGTATACAAATGATAACCAATCAGTCAATACAACACATGCACCTTCTAACAATCCCACAATATCGCCCCTTGTTCTGAGGTCCTCCTGCAGTCTAAATTCTTTCCAATTTTTAGGCTGCTGCACCACCCCTGATCCTGCTCAAAGAAGCCCTGAGAAACATTGCCCCATCACCCCTCTGTGCTGGCATTCCTAATATTCTACTGTCCTCTAGTCTTCATTTGTTTTTCCTTTATATTAGTAATATAAAAAGGACTATGAAGTCTTTTAGGCTGACCATGCCAGGGACTGCATGGTAACCTCTGTGATCTGTACATACTCCTCCAGATGGGTTCCTGGAACTAGAAAGTCTGAAGTAACTGACAAACCTCAAAAAGAGAAGAATGACAAACCCCTGTGGTGCCTGATTAACTTTGAGACATACTTCTATTGTTCCTTAATCCCTTCTCAACTGATAAGGGAACTGGACTTTGTAACTGACCTTGCTCAACTGATAGGTCAACCTCATGACTCCAGACCCTATGACCCCTCCCAGCTTGCAAAAATGGCCCTGAACTGTAACTTCTGTAACTTTCCACTGCCTATACCAAACCTGTAAAACCAACTCCTATTCCACCGCCCTCTGCTGACTGTCTTTTCAGACTCAGCCCTTCTGCACCTGGGTGAATAAACAGCCATGTTGCTCACATAAAGTCTGTTTGGTGGGGGTCGCTTCATTCAGAGCACATTTTAACACTCCTCCCTCCCCTCCCTCCCTCCCTTCTTTTCAGAGACAGAATCTGGACTGGTCTGCACTGGCATAGGATACTCCTGTGGCAGGCGTGAGAACCAGAGCAACTCCATCTTGGATAGGAGCTGGGTAAAATGAGGTTGAGACCTACTGGGCTGCACAGATGATTAAGGCTTTCTAAGTCACAAGATACAGATCATAAAGACCTTGCTGATAAAACAGGTTGCAGTAAGGAAGCCAGCCATATAACAAAAGAAAGATGGCTGCGAGAGTGACCTGTAGTTGTCCTTACTGCTACACTCCCACCAGTGCCATAACAGCTTATAAATGCCATGGCAGTGTCAAGAAGTTACTATATATAGTCTATAAAGGGGAGGCATGAATAATCCACCCCTTGTTTGGCATAATAAATAATCATAAAAATGGGCAACCAGCAGTCCTCAGGGCTATTCTGTCTATAGGGTAGCCATTTTTTTTATTTCTCTACTGTCTTAATAAACTTGCTTTCACTTTAAGGACTTGCCCTGAATTCTTTCTTGTGTGAAATCCCAGAACCCTATCTTTGGTTCTGGATCAGGACCCCTTTATTGTAGTACTCTCCTTATTGCTGATAGTTTTATTGAACAGCATTGAAGAGATGAGCAATTTGTGTTGTAACCACCAGAAAGGTTAAATGATGCCTCTCAATAGCATCTGAAAACCCCAGAATAAGACCTACACTCATTAATACTAGTCTTAATTTTAAAAAGAAAAAAAAATCCCCAGCATTTAGCCTTAATCACTTCATATTGCTGATCCTGCCAGGACTCATGTACATCAAATTGGCCTATTCATGATTTAGTCTTGAATGCAACTTTAAAGCTGATATCATAAGATATTTGAGGGAAGCTTTCAAAATACAAGACAGAGACCTAACAAAACGAACACACACACACAGTACAGAGGAAACAAGAGCAGTGCAGGTAACATAAAAAAATTTTAAATGGATAACAACAGAATATATTCATAATTAAAAATTGAAAAGGGTGCTGTTGAAAATGAATATCCAAAAGAAAAAAATACTCTGAGAAATTATAAATATGAGAGTACATACATAAAAATACACAGGTTTTAAACTTCAGACTCTCAAATTTAAAAAATAAGTGGATTAATAAAGATTAATTCTAGATAGTCTTCCTAATAATGAATATTCAAGAAAAGAAAAATCCTGACACAATTTGCATAGAAAGTTGTAGGAGAAGCCTATGGAACACTTACTATTTTAATAATAATTCAAATGAATAATTCATAATAATGTTCTTTTTTAAGTGGGATTTTATTTTTCACTACCCATGTGAATCTCATTGTAAAAACTAAAAAAATAAAAATTATTTGAAACCTCACAAAACAAGGTTAAATCTATATATTCCACTTGATGGGCCACCAAAGTTTTTAGAAAGTGCATATATGTGACCAGCTTCTTAGCATGAACCCGAAAGATTTCTTCCATTATAAAGCAGATGTTAAACCACAGGCCAGGACAGATCTGAATTCCTCCTGCTGACTCATTTGCATGAATGAAGTAAAACAGTCAAAACCACAAAAAAGATAAAAACTCCAGCTAATGAGGCCATTTGTGCAAATTCATTAGCATGAACACTTCCAATTGATCAGCACAAAGTGTTACAAGGAAACCTCAGGAGTAAAAAGTAACAGAAGATTGTAGCCTGCTCTCCTAAGATGGAGAAAATCCCTGGGGAGGAGGCACTGGAGAGTTAAGAAAAGCATATGGCCTCCTTTGCTAATAAAAGTCTAAAAAGAAACAGCTACCAGAGCAACTTCTTCACTTCTATAAGGTTGCTAAAAGTGAAATCATTTAAGGAAAGTAAATTTTAGTGCTATTTGTAAAATATTATCATTATTTGATAAACAAATGATCCCCACACTTCTCTTGCTAACAAGCACACAAAGATGCCCTGCTCTCTGCCATGCACGTAACTGTTTTTCATTTGTGATTCTGAAGACATCTTCAGCCCTTGAGATGATTTTAGCAGTCCTGCTCCCTGGAAGCTTGAGCTGATCAGTTCATACCTTGGTGGTGATGTGCTCCAATTAATAGTACTCACACTTCCCTACATATCTCCATTTGGATCACTTATCCCAATGTTGTCATCATCCCATTATTTGGTCTTTATTCTCTATGATACTTTATGTTCAGAGAGAATAAAGCACGTGTATTGGTCCATTTTCTTACTGCTATGAAGAAATACCTGAGACTGGGTAATTTATAAAGAAAACAAAGTTTAACTGACTCACAGTTCCACATGGCTGAGGAGGCCTCATAATCATGGTGGAAGGTGAAGGGGGAGCAAAGGTATGTCTTACATGGCTACAGGCAAGAGAGCTTATGCAGGGGAACTCCCATTTACAAAACCATCAGCTCTCCTGAGACTTACTATCAGGAGAACAGTATGGGGGAAACTGCCCCCATGATTCAATTATCTCTATGTGGCCCTACCCATGACACCTGGGGATTATGATAATTCAAGGTGAGATTTGGGTGGGGACACAGCCAAACCATATCAGAACAAGACTATCTTATTTATCGTTCTACCTAAATCTAGTGATGGACAATCTAACACATTTTGGCAAGGGTGCAAATATTGAAGAAAATAATAAATGACACATGGAACTCTTATTTTACAGATAAGGAAATGCACTATGGAGACCCAAGTACTAGCCAGGGCTTAGAAGCAAAACGAGGAGTAGAATTTAGGTCTTCTGTTTACCTGCAGTTTGCATTTTCTAAAGTACAAACAAATCAGCCCACACACAAGAGCCACTAAAATAAAATTACAAGCTACTTAAAAACCTTCTCTTCCACTACTCCTACACCTCCAGATAAAAAGATCTGTTAACGGTTTAGATAAAACCCAGCCATACCCCCTCTTGCTTGTGTCTTTAATGGCTCTGTTCATATTAGAAACCTTTACCTTTATCTATAACTACCCCAAAGTTACTATTATTCAGATTCCAGCTTAAATTTCATCATGTTCATTTACCAAAATGAAATGAAATTAAAATACTGAACACTGCATATGTACCAAGCAATATAGAAGACAAGAAGATGCATAATAAATGGGCTGTCTTAAAGAAGCATTTGATTTAACTAGGCTATTAAAAGGTTGATAATATCTAGTGTTGCTAAGAAGGCCAGGCAATAGCCATCCTTATATAATGCTGGTAGTTATGCAAATTAGTGCCACAGTTCTGTTTTGTATTGAAGGAAGGGAATTTGGCAATGTCTTTACAAGTTAAAAGTGTGTCCCTTCAGACCCAGCAATTCTGCTTCTGGTGACATCATAAAGATATTCTTCTCTCCTTAGGTACATTAATGATGCCTTAACAGTTTTTATAAGAGTCCAAAACTGGTGAAAGAAGAATCCATCTATAGATACTGGATACAGAAATTGTGTTACATCTATACAGGTAATATTTTATTTGTAAAATAAAATGAGCTAGTTCTCTATAAGGTAATATATAAGAACTTCAAACAAGTGGCAACTGCAACATGCAGAAAAATGTCTAATATGATTACATTTGTTTTAAAAATATACATTCATATGCCCTTATATACGTTAAAATTATGAAAGTGTAACTGAAAAAAGTACAAGTAAAAATCAATTTTCTCTAGAGAGTGGGATTGGAGATTTGGAGGAGAGATTGGTATTAACCTTTCATTTCATTTTTTATTCTTTAATGTTTGGATTTAAAAAAATTGTACACACTATCATATTCATAGTTACTTATCTGTTAAATCAGATTTTTAAAATTCTGTGGCTATTTAGCTGGTTGATGGGAAGGTGGTGGGAGTGATGGGAGATTAAATGAGAGTGGTATTTTATTTTGGCCTTGTAAATAGCGTTTCTGCAGGCAGGGATGGTAGAAGCACCGTGGGCACAGAGTGGACTGTGCTTCCCAGCACATGGTAGGGAGGCACAACCATGCGATTAGTTCTAGCCGATGAAACAGGAGTAGCAGTAGTGTGTCTCAACTCTGGGCTGAAGCAGTAAGAAGCCCCTGTATAATTCAGTTCAGTTATAGAGAAGGACTTGTGTTGAGCTGGTGAAATAAGAATAAAGCAGGCTAGATTGCCAAGTAACTGCAAGCAGAACTGCTACTTTGGTGAGCCTCCTGAATCCTGAAGAGTAAAACATAAACACTCAGATTTAAGGGTGTTTATTACTGTAGGCAAATGTAGCCTAATATGAGTAGAGGGAATAAGATTGTAGGGAAAGGTTTTGGATATGAATACCTATGTTTGTAAGAGTGAGAGTCTGCTCTGTGTGTAGAGGCAGAGATGGGGGAGATGCCTCAAAAGTGTCCTAGAGCTCAGAAATAAATGAAATTGACTGCCAGTGTGAAGAAAGCCATTCACTTTGTTCGGATTAACAAGATGCTGAAAGTTTTATGTTGGTTTTGGGTATTAAACTGGGAAGTGACATGACTGAAGTTTAAGAATTTCAGTTATGTAGGAAGATTAGTTTGGCAGTGCTATGCTAAGAGAGATACATAGTTTTGGAAAGGAAAGAGGAGTAATCAGCAAAGAACACAGAAAAGACTAAGAGAAAAGTAAGAGTGTTTTGTGTTCCAGAGGTCACAGACAAAGGCTGAAGGAGGAAAGGGTGATTCTCAA